CCAAAATCACTGCAGATGGTGACAGCAGCCATGAAATTAAAAGACAGTTGCTCCTTGGAAGAAAAACTATGACCAACCTAGACAGCATATTAGAAAGTAGAGACATTACTTTGTCAACAAATGTCCATCTAGTCAAGGCCATGGTTTTTCCAGTATTTATGTATGGATGAGAGTTGGACTATAAAGAAAGCTGAGCGCTGAAGAATTGATGCTTTTGAATTGTGATGTTGGAGAAGACTCTTGAGAGCCCCTTGGACTTCAAGGAGATCCAAATTCTAGTGGCAATCAGTCCTCAGTATTCATTGGAAGGAGTAATGTTGAAACTGAAACTCCAATACTTTGGCCACCTGATATGAAGAGCTGACTCATTGGAAAATATCCTGATGCCGGGAAAGATTGCAGGTGGGAGGAGAAGGGGACGACAGAGGATGAAATGGTTGGATGGCATCACCTTCTCAATGGAGATGAGTTTGGGTAAACTTCGGGAATTGGTGGTGGACAGGGAGGCCTGGCATGCTGCAGTCCATGGGGTCGCAAAGAGTCGAACACAACTGAGTGACTGAACTGAACTGAACATGAGTTAGGTCAGACATGAGTTATAATATTGGCCATTAGCTCAGTGCTAAGGAATGAACAATATTTAGTGTTAAATAAGTTAAAAAGAAGCACATGAAAAAAAAAATGTATTGATTGGTTGATGAAAATGTAACCAAAGCCTCATAGGAACCTAATCCTGTACTTCTCCTAGGAGAAATCATTCAGTATTTGCTAATTCAATGTTCATGGTGACTTATAGATCATAACAGCAAATAATGATAATCAATTTTACCATTCATGATGATTAACATTTAGTAATCTTGTATAAGTTCCTAGAGCAATGTAGAGATGATAGGGATCGGAATGGTTTGTGGGATCCTATGATATTTTCTGTACCTCCCAATGCCTTTTGGTATCAGGAGATTGAATATCATGTCAGGTCCAGCTTCCAGGAGTATAAATTTGATCAAACTTTTATATAGTATATCTCAATTTTGCCCCACACCTACTACCTTATTCATACTCTGTAACAAGCAGTGGAACATCATTTACAGATATGAGATGAATATGTAATTTTTGACCATGAAATTTCTTTGTCCCCATGGATCTTAGCAGATGTTCAATTTGGCCCTCATTTTACAGCAGCCAATAATTACAGTAAAAAGACTGTTTCTAATCCGAGGTACTCCAATTTTATCTTCTCATCATAAAACAAGACCTACCTAGCCAATATAGAAGAGATATATATGATAAAAGGAAGTGAAGAATGTTAAAAAAGAATAGAAAAAACTGGAAATAGAACTGCCATATGACCCAGCAATCCCACTGCTGGGCATACACACCGAGGAAACTAGAATTGAAAGACACACGTGTACCCCAATGTTCATCGCAGCACTGTTTACAATAGCCAGGACATGGAGGCAACCTAGATGTCCGTTGGCAGATGAATGGATAAGAAAACTGTGGTACATATACACAATGGAATATTACTCAGCTGTTAAAAAGAATGAATTTGAATCAGTTCTAATGAGGTGGATGAAACTGGAGCCTATTATACAGAGTGATGTAAGTCAGAAAGAAAAACACCAATACAGTATACTAACACATATATATGGAATTTAGAAAGATGGTAACAATGACCCTGTATGCGAGACAGCAATAGAGACACAGATGTAAAGAACAGACTTTTGGACTCTGTGGGAGAAGCCAAGGGTGGAATGATTTGAGAGAATAGCATTGAAACATGTATATGACCATATGTGAAATAGATCACCAGTCCAGGTTCCATGCATGAGACAGGGCCCTCAGGGCCGGGGCACTGGGACGACCCTGAGGGATGGGATGGGGAGGGAGGTGTAAGGGGGGTTCAGGATGGGGGACACATGTACACCCATGGTGGATTCCAATATTGTAAATTAGCCTCCAATTAAAATAAATAAATCTTTAAAAAAGGAATAGAACTGCCATTCAAGGTGAGAAATGCAGATTAGCACAGACTGAATTTATTCCAATGTGCCTTAATGTAGATGTTCAATAAGTTCATTTCTTCTTGAAAATTCCCCCTTTCAAAATCTCTGCAAAACTATGCAACAAACATAAAGAAATGTCTATCTCTAACCCTGTTCATCTCCTACCTTGTACTATTTATATTCTATGGTGGACATATAATGCAATATAGTTATGGAAAATTACAAAACAAGAAGAATTTGAGATCTTCTGTGAGTACGTGCACACACACACACATACACATCAGGGATAGTGGATTTAGTGGAAAGAGTTCTAAGCCAGGAGAAAAGGGTTAGGATCTAATTACCTGTAAACTGCAAACTGTTGGCTTTGTAGGGACCCTATAGTTGAGGCTTAATCTCTATGATATGTTTGCTCTGTGTTTGCAGGTTGGGTAGGGCTAACTTTCTTTTAAAATAAAGTATAGTTCACTTGCAATATTATATTAGCCTCAGGTGTGCAGGGCTTCCCTTGTGGCTCAGCTGATGAAGAATCCGCCTGCAATGTGGGAGACCTGGGTTCGATCCCTGGGTTGGGAAGATCCCCTGGAGAAGGGAAAGGCTACCCACTCCAGCATTTTGGCCTGGACAATTCCAGGGACTGTATAATCCATGTGGTTGTAAAGAGTCAGACACAACTGAGTGACTTTCACTTTCAGGTGTACAATATAGTGATTCAATATTTTTATAGTTTATGCATATACAATATGATTAACAATATTCTCTGTGGTATACATTACATCCTTGTGACTTATTTATTTTGTAACTTGTTGTTTGTACCTTTTCATCCCTTTCACCTGTTTTCTTCATCCTCTGATCCTCCTTCCTCTGGCAAATGCTAGTTAGTTCTCTGCATCTGCGAGGGTTAAATTCTTTATTGTGATCTTCCATCTCAACATAGCAGCTGGGAGAAACAAATGCTGTATCAGGCTAAGAACGACAAAGCAGAAAGTGAATTTATATATTTTCGTCTCTAAACCCCATCATTGGAAAGACATCTAAGTTCTTAGGATTCATACACTGAGAAGAGTCCGTAACCTCTATAGCTCTACTCATATAAATAAGATAGAAAGAGATAAACATTTAATGGTTATATCATCCAGTTTTGTGTCAGTGATTATTTTGGCTTGCTTTGACTAAAACAGTAGTGAACAGGAACTCTTTGTCAAGAGGGATATGAACCTAGAATTCATAGGAGAGTGTGTGAGGTAGATTAACAGATGGAATGAGTTTGTTTGTTTAGATAGTTTAGTTTGTTAGTTTGTCTAGTTAGTTTAGTTTGTTAGTTTAGTTTGTTTCTATCCATAACATCATTGAAACATTTGTCTGATTTGAAGACCACTTAGTGACTTGGCAGTTTACTCTGGCAACAGAACTTTCTGAGATGGGAAAACAAAATGGAGAAGTGGTCACAGTTCTCAACTCTTTGTCAGCTATAGTAGTAAATTCAAGATTTAAAATTTGTAGTCAAATATGGAATTTTATAGAACACAATATGAGTGCCAAAAATTTAAAATTTGTAGTCAAATATGGAATTTTATAGAACACAATATGAGTGCCAAAATAGACACCAGGAAAAATATTTTTCACTTCTATGACTCTATAGTAAAGGTGATCTCAGATTTAATAGTTATTCCAAAAGAAATGGAGGAAACACTTCATTATGAAGCACAATAATATAACAAATTGTGGGAGGATTGTAATTTCAATGCACAGAAAGAACACTAGTATTTATTTACCAAATACGTGGCCAATCATGTTTAATTGAAGTTATTATTGCAGTGAGAAGAAATAATAATTTGACTTCTAAGGATTTTTAATTTACAGTATTATATTTGTGCAACATACATTGACTATAGGATAAGAGATGTTTTTATAATTACATGCTGGAAAATGAAAGTATCAATGTAAGCTCTATGAATCCTGTAAATAATAATATAACAATATAGTTAAGTGGAAAAGAGTTTCTTCACTAGATCCATATAGCTTAGAAAAATATAATTTCATTAAAATGTCACATACTTATAATCTCTCTCCCTAATGTATCTTTTACAATTTTCCTCATTTTCTCTGTTTTCTATTATTTCATCATCTTTAATTAGTAAGAACCAAAATTTAGGAACATCTTTGCATCATCCACAATGGTCCTTAATGTCACCTCAACATGGAAGCTGTGATCCTTTGGAGGATGCCCTTTAGAAAGAAACAGGACTCTTTATAAGATGATATAAGATGTCTCTTAAAGATACATACTTGCAACAAATTATTTAGCATATAATTTTCAGATATTTCTATGAAGTGCTTGGGGTATTATCCCATTTTGTCTCCATAAGCACTTCCATTTGCAAGAGATTTTTCCCGATCAGAATCACTATTCAACAAATATTGATTGCATGTTGCAGGCAAACCTGATACCATATAAGGTAGTGTGGAGGATGCCAAGGTAATACACACCTGGGCCTGATTCCAGTGGGAAAGGGGAACAAGCACTTAAAATCTTATCTAAGTTGTGCTACAGGGTGTGAAATGTCCTGAGTCAAAAGTAAACTTTGAGAGAGAGAAATTCTCTAGATAGATAGGCTCTAATGGAAGGAGGAAAATTTTTCATGTGAGTGAAGTTAGGATATCCTAAAAAAAAATAAATTAGAAAAAAAGAGAGACATTCAGGATATACAGAAGGAATTTATCTAATATAGTAAAGTGTAGGCCAGGTGAAGAGAAGTAGTGGATGATAAGAGTGGAAAACCATGGAGAACACAAATACCAAAACCCTGGAGTATCAGTGTTTTGATATTCAAACTGGAATAAAGTTTGAACTTGATTTTATAGATAATGAAGAATCGCATTTTGAATTCTCTCTAGAACCAATTTTGCATTTCCAGAATTTAGTCAAAAACATATCCATACTCATTAAAATAGAGCCTTTACTCCAAACTATAACTATTCTTTTTGTTTCAGATTTTTCATTATTCGTATACTGCTTCATATGTGATCTACAATATACACACTAGGTAAGTTCTTTGATCATCTGGTTTCCATGAGCAACTGTCCAACTGAACTGTAGGTGCAGGTGTCAATTTGTTCATATAAAAATATTTACCTTTTTTCAAGGGAAGTTTGGGAGTTAAATCCTCCAGAAGTAGAGGACTCTGTCCTGCAGTACGCGGCCTGGGGTGTCCAAGGGCAGCAGCTGGTGAGTACAGGCATTAACGTGCACCAAACACTGTCAGCCAGGGCCCTACAGAAAACGCTTACAGAAGCCACTGTCTCGTAAAAGTTGTCCTATTATATGGATGTTTTCCATTTACTTTAATATATTTTATCTAATACTCCAATTTAAGAATATATCAAACAGTACCAATATTATGTTGTCAATTAATTAAAAAGTAAACATTTATAGAGTAATATGCGATTAAACAGCTAGTTGATAATGAAACCCAGAAGAGATCCAAGAATATGAAGGCCAGTTCTGCAAAATTCCAGTTGCATATTGTTTTATTTATTCTTAAAGCATTGTTCAGAGCAAAACTTTAAGATAGAAGTTGACAGTTGACAGTGTTCTCTTAAGAGAAGGTTTTTTCATCATCATAATTTGAAATAATTTTGAAATTGTCACAAGCTCAAAAAGAGAATGATTGATGTAAAAGCAGTTTGAGCTTCACGATATTCTTGTGTGTGTCTCATGCAGGCCTGGATATAGACTTTAAGGGCAGACTGCTCAGGAAGTGGTATTGCTTGTTTGCAGGGCTTGAGCATGCTCAAAACTACTACACGTGGCCAAACTGATTTCTAAAATTTTGTGTGTGTTTATATGCCTACTAGCAACAATGTGAAAATTACCTTTGTTCCATATCCTCACCAATACCTAGTTTTTCCAGGCTGTCATGTTTTTGTTAATAATGACATTATTGCTTCTTCATTCCAATTTCTATACTTTTTATTTTATTAAAATCTTTTTACACTAGCTAACCTACAGATGTGTATAGTTATGGTGTGATAGTTTCTTTTTCTGTGGAAAGATTTTTAAAAAATTATTCTATTATGAATATAAGATTAAGGTTTTGGTAATCTATGCTTTTATAAAATTTCATTTCACCTAAATTTTCAAATTTTTATCATAATACATTTAACTTCTCTGTTTTTTTAATCTTTACATTTGTTTCTGTATTTATTTTTTTCATGTTTTCTAATATTATTTGTAGGTTCTGTCCTCTCTTTTTTTATGGTCAGCTTTGATTGATATTTATAAATTTCACATTTGTCTTGTCAAAAAGCCAAATATTGAATTGATTTTATCCTTCCTAGTATAATGTTAGTGTTTCCTTTTTCTTTTGTAATAAATAACTGAAGACTAGAATTTTCTCTAAATTTGGCTTAATATTCATTCAAGTTTGATAGTGATATTTTTATAGTAATTTGGTTTGAGTATGTAGAAAATGGATCATATGTTCTTACTTCTGATGGGTTATTTTGATGTTTGTTTTTGAATTTAAAAAACTATGAACTTGGATTTGAAATTGATTTCTAAAGTTCAAAAGCAGATCTCTGTAATACTGACTGAAAATAATAAGAGTTGATTAATGGCTTAACATAAACTTTTACAGATGTTTTCCATGTGGGAAATATAATGCTTTATGTGTGCCTCTTAGGTCTATCTTAATACATGATTAAGTTTTGAAGACTTTTTAAAACAAAAGTTTGTCAATAACAATGAGAGAAATATGTGCAAAGTTGCCGGACGTTAGACTTGAAGCTGCTTAAGCATCTTTATGGTTGTATTTTATAAAGAAATCCTACGTAACAGAGTATTCACTGTCATATCCACTCTGAATGGTTGATTAAATTATTTTAAAGACAACAAGTAGTCATTTAAAAATGAAAAAAATACTGCTGTGATTCTGTCAAGTAATCCCATTGACATGGGGACCTACTCAACAGAAGGCAGAGGCTATACTAAAACAGGCCTTAATCCAGGCACCTGCTTCGAGGTTGCCAAACTTAGAGAAAGCATTCCATCTATATGTCCACAAGAAGGAAGGCATAGACTTGGGGATGTTAACTTAAAGGTTGGGACCTGAACCCAGTCAGTGGCATACTTGTCCAAGAGACTGCACCCACCACCTGAGGCTGGCCTCCCTGCCTTCAAAACCTTGCAGTCATTGCAAACCTGAAAAAAGATGCCTTAAAACTTGGGGGCAAACTATTTTTATTAGACACCAAGTGAAACAAGTCCTGAATGAGAGAGGTCATGTATGGATGTCTGATCAAAGGATCCTCAGACACCAAGTAGTGTTTAATAACATTCTGCCTGTTTGAGCTAGAAGTGGCCTGTCATTCCAAATCTTCTTAACAATGAAACAGAAGGCAGAAGACCATATCATAGCAACAAACGAGTTATAGTTACAGCTCGGTTACAGCTCACCTGGGAAGGAGGCAGGGGCAAAGGGCAGTGGCTTCCAAGATGCAGGTGCAAGTCAACCCCTGAAGCGGTCCTGATTCCTCTTGGCTTCCCTTTTTATCATTTCTGTCTCCTCCCTGTGGAGCCTGGTGGGTTATATCCTATGAAAAAATAGGCGGTGGTTCAAGTATTCACCTGATTATTTATGCCCAGGACCAGAGGTTCTCACTCAGGTCCTCAACTTCCTCTTTTGTGGGCACCCCCAACCTGCGTTTTTCTGCCATCTTGGACTCTTTATTTTTTTCTACTCTAACTACCTGACAATTCTAATACCATAGATTATAAGCAGTATGTTTGTCTTTATCATGTGTCTATTTTAGAGACATTTAAAACAGTGTATTTATATTCCTATGTAGGACTGTCTCTAGATCCATTCTATTATGATATTCCTGAAAGCTGGCAGCAGAAGGTACACAGAATATGCTAGATATAAAGATGCAAGTCTGATTCAGAGAAGTCAAGAATCAATGTGTTCATGGGCAGTGGTGAGGTGGGCAGTCACTGCAGTCCTCCTCACTTTCCTCTGCTGCTGACAATTAGACAGCTGGTTCTCAGGGCAGAGGCAGATTCTAAACACACAAAATGTCAGAACACAGAAACCCAAGAGAACCTCAGGTTTGTGGCACTAGAGAGGCCTTAGGAAACATCTATAAATGACTCTTGTTCTCCAAGTCTGAGAGGAGAAAAATTCGGTGCCAAAGATTATGACAAAATAACAGTTTCATACTCTCAATGAAGTAGTATTAGTGCATGCATTTTCTTTAATGATTCATATTTGTTATTGATTAATTATTCTTTAGCATATTTGAAAGAATCATAAAAGTACCAAAAGTTTATGAAAATCATAGATCTTCTCAAGGGAGTCATTTTGCAGGTGATTGAATCCTTATACATTACTACCTTGAGAATATTACTTAATCTCCATATGCCTTAGTCTCCTTATCGGTAAAGTGCTGACAATAGCAGTGCTTTACTAATAATGCTATCATATTTAATGTATTTATATGAAGTATTTTGAAAAGAAGCATATAGGATTTTAGAGGTGTGAGATTTTATTGTTTCTAAAAGATAAACAAAAAAAACTTTGTCACTTGAATTTTAACTTCTTTAGGACTTTTGATGTCACTAAATTTGTGAAGAAATGAGGTTAAGTTCTGTGTAATGGCATTTTACAAAGTCATTTGGGAAAGTTTGCGATAAATTCCACTCTTATTGAGGTTATGTTTTGTGCAAGTAAACATAAATTCAGTGTATTATAATTAAAGAGTTATCTCTACAAATGTCTAATGGTCCATTTCATGTGAATGACAGGCTTTGTCAATATTTGAAGCCATCAGCAAACTCTTCAATATGATTTATCAGAGATGAGCCATTGCAATTAATTTAAATGAGCCTTACAGTGTTTATAAACTAAGGACAACTCATTCTTCATCTTTAATTCTCACTTTCTAATTTTATTTGCTGTAAATTAAACCCCTGGCTATAGAGAAGAAAGGTAAGAGTTTAGGCATAACTTATAGGTAAAGAAAGTCTTAATTAGAATTTAAAGGATGTGGAATTTTTTAGTAGCACTAAGTGTAGGGGAAAACAACTTGGATGGGCCCAGCTACATGGGGAAAGAATCTGACACAATGTATTATTTAGAAAAGGCAGTGACTAGATTACTTTAGTTGTAGCAAATGTATTATAGAAAGAAATAATGGATCCTGAAACAGAAAAGGTATATTAGTCATTCATTTGAAAAAAATTCTGGTTTAAGAAGGTATAGCCTTTTTCTTTTCAAAATAGCTTCATTATATAAAAGTTAAAGTCACTCATTGTAAAACATTTTGAAAATTCATAGAGTTCTATAATTATATGAATTCATCTAAATTCATATACTGGAGAAGGAAATGGCAACCCACTCCAGTACTCTTGCCTGGAAAATCCCTAGGACAGAGGAATAGTCCATGGGGTCACAGAGTCGGACATGACTGAGTGACTCACACACACAAATTCATATGTAAAAATTAATTATACTTACCTATAATTCTACCATAAGAATTGAAGGATTCTGAAAATCAAATAAAATTTGAGCATAAGAAGGAAAAAACATTTCACTGACTAAAACACTCTATCTAGAATTAGGAAAAAAAAAAACCAGTTCAACCTCAGATCCTCTGTTTTGTATTTTGTGACTTATGGAAGGTTGAAAGCTTTAAGCTTGCTGGTTTTAAAAATGAAAGAAAATCATAGCTATTCTCAGTTTAAATGAGATAGGTCATATGCACAAGTTGATTTCCAGAAAACAGTATTAATCATGTATATATGTATATATGTGTATGTATCATACATATATGTACGTCTATTCAGAGAGAGAGATAGGAAAATTGACTCTTGCAATTATGGCAGCAGTCTGGTCAGCTGGAAACTCTGATAAGATTTAGTATCACAGTCTTGAGCTGCAGATCTGAGGCAGAACTCCTTCAGGAAGACTGTTTTTGCAGTTAAGGTTTTCAACTGATTAGAAAGGACAAACTATATTATTCCTTAGTTAAAGTGAACTGATTATAAATGCTACTCATACCTTTTAATTACATTCACAACAGGAATAGTGTTTGACCAAAGAGACACCAAAACTTAGCCACATTTACACATAAAATTAGCCATCACATCATAGCAAGCACACAATAAATGATACCCATTCATTTGATTCTCACTTGTCCTTTCTTGTATTAACATAGTTAGTGCAGAAT